CCCAAAACCCCAAAACCCCAAAACCCCAAAACCCCAAAACCCCAAAACCCCTAATCTGGTCTTTTTAATTGAACTCATAATGAATAATTTATTGATTCTTCTTTTTCTGTCGCAAAAATGCAAATAAGAACACAAGAGCAAAGAAGATTCACAAAGCACCGACTACAATGTACGAAATAGCCAAAAATCTGTTCCTTCCTCCATAGGTATCTGTAGTTGACATAAAAAACTTTTTCTGCCCTTGGAAAGAAGAAACAGGATAATTGTCTTCAATGGTTAACTTGTAGTCTCCTTCTGGTAGATCTTCGTGAATTATTCCCCAAGGTTTTCTGAAGTTCTTCATACCAGCTACTCTCATCCAGACAATGAATCTTTCATCTGTAACATCTGTCCATTGATAAGTTTCGTAATCTCCAGGCATATTTGCGAAGAGATCAGATACATCAGTATCCCATGCTATTCCTTTAGGGTTTATATCAACAGGAGTAGCTGCTGAGACTTTTTGAAGCTCAAAGGTATCGTTAAAGTAACTTTGAGCAATCAATCCTCAAGGATGAGCAGCAGCATCAGGATCTAATGGTCTATTATTAATACTTGTAGTCCTTCCTAGATGCTTATTAGTCACTATAGGATGACAGTCTCCAGAGACATCATCTACTGATAACTGATTTCCTCTGAGTTGTGCATTACTCCTACTTCTAACATATCTCCTATGGTTTTGGAAGAGGTTATCAATCTGGTAATAAACAAAGACTGGGGCCTCCATCTTATGAGGGATGTTAAGGTCTAGCACTCATTTTTCAGCCCCTTCTTCGATCTGTTTCCTGCATGTAATATGGTAAGTTATTTCTGCTTCTTTGATTCTATTTCCCCAAAGGAAAAGTAGAAGTCCCAAGACTAAGAATATTATACCGAAAATCATAAAAGTCACAAGTGTAGTGAGGAATGTAGGATTTGGCCTCCAAGCAGGAAGAGCTTGTTGTTTGAAAAGAGATTTCTCTAAGGCTGCTTTTCTCTCTTTCCCTATAATATATTGATGATGGAATTCTTAGATTTTTAATTCAAAAATACTCTTCTCGATTAATTTAATTTTAGAATAATCAAATAAATAAGATTGAGTTTCAGATTAAATTGTTGTTTCTATTGACATCTCTTAAAATCATAAATTTTCTTAAGGATTTATTAATCTCTCAAATAAAAATGAATTAAGAACATAAAGATACCTTTCAGATCGAAAAAGAATGTAAAATAAACATAAAATATGTCTAAAAACAAACCGAAATCAACTCTCTTCATGTTCAAAAATTGCGAAATCGAAGATAAAATTCCCAAAAACTCATAAATCCCAACCCAGTCCTACACCTCATCTAAACCCTTTCAAAATACTTCTAAGTGCCTTGTCACCCTCCTATTGGCTAAAGGCTTACCTTTCTTGAGTACTTCATCAGCGTCAGTCATGATTGAGATTTACGATTAAATATTATTATCAATGTTAGTGTTTAGAAGGGGTTTTGGGGTTTTGGGGTTTTGGGGTTTTGGGGTTTTGGGG